TCTGCTTCCCTTTCCTCCTTAACTGGTGCAGCCTGTGCAGTGCTCACCAGGAGTGTCTCTTGGTATTAGCCTGAGTGACTTTTATTGTTTGGTGAGAAATGGTAGGAGAACATGGAGGAGAATGGGTTTATTTCATGTATCTGTGTTTTGATGGGAACTGGTTGCTCTCTCTACTCCCTTGAGTATAAACTACACATAGAGAGTATAAATCAGTCTTGAAGGTTTGAACTGGTCTGAAGTGAAGCCTTTACTTTTGAAGCCTTTTTTTCTTTTAATGACAACTTAACTGTTAAGATTTTGTTGTTGTTGTTATAAGACACTTTTTTTGGGGGGGGGGTAAGTGTATTATAAAGGATTAATGCCTGCTCAAAAGAAATGGTCTGCATGAATTCACAGACTGTGAAGTTCCTTTGCTTTTAAACAAATCTATCTTGTGAGGCAACCGGTAAGTCAGCAATTATCAGTGAGCTCTTAGTTGTTAATTTGAGTATATGGCGTGTCCTTTAAAAGCTAAATAGTGTGGCACTGGTGGTGTTGATTGGTGAGATGGTGGATCTCTGATAGAGCTTGGAAGCAGCTGTTTTCTCTTTTTTTCCCCCAAAAGGAGAGTGGAGATATAACTTGAAGTAAGGCAAAGACAGGAAATATCACTTGGAAGCCTGTGGTAGGTTTTGAAATATTTTTGATCCAACTATCAGATAAATGTTTAGGGATGGAGTCCTTTTTCTTTTTTAAGTCCAAAGACCAAATTAGTTGGGTTTGTTTTGACAATTATAATGCAAACTTTGTATGCTGAAATCTCCTATTCTTTTTTTTTTAAATTTATTTTATTTTTTGGCCATGTCACGCAGCATGTGGGATCTTAGTTCCCACACCAGGGATCAAACCTGCGCCCCCTGCAGTGGAAGCGCAGAGTCTTAACCACTGGACCACCAGGGAAGTCCCCCTCCTACCTTTTTTTTGTTCGTTTGTTTTCTTGACAGTGTTTCTTTCAAAGATGTGCCTCCTGTGCTTTTTAAAGAAAGTTATTTTAGTTTTTTTAAAAAAAATATTTATTTATTTTTGTCTGCGTTGGGTCTTTGTTGCTGCAGCGGGCTTTCTCTAGTTGTGGTGAGCAGGGGCTACTCTTCGTTGCGGTGAGCAGGCTTCTTATTGTGGTGGCTTCTCTTGTTGCGGAGCACGGGCTCTAGGCGAGTGGGCTTAGTAGTTGTGGCTCGCGGGCTCTAGAGTGCAGGCTCAGTAGTTGTGGCACACAGGCTTAGTTGCTTCGTGGCATGTGGGATCTTCCCGGACCAGGGCTCGAACCTGTGTCCCCTGCATTGGCAGGCGGATTCTTAACCACTGCACCACCAGGGAAGTCCCATTATTTTAGTTGTGAAAATTCTTGGCCTAGGTATTGAAGAACAGGTTCGTGAATTTCTGGCTGACATAGCATGTGTACTACAGTGAGTTTCAATTTTCAGAAAACTCATTTTCATACTGGAGTTATGAGCTCAATTAAATTGGAACCCAGTTAACTATTTGGAATTAATTTATGAAACAGGACTTGGACTAAGGAATAGGTGTTTCATTTTAGACTAGGCAATGCTCTACTTTTAAAGATTGTTAGGAATGTATTGCTTGTTTTTCTTCATTTGGAACTCTAAAAATAAAAGAACGTATATTTGATTAGGTCAGAAATTTCATTATGAGAGTATTTTCAAGGATTTGTAGACTAGAGAATTTCATTTGGATTTAGACCTGTTGCTGTAACTTTGTTTCTTGTGTTATAATTAACTTTTTAAGTAAGATGTCACATAGGAACTTACTCATTTAAAGTTATGTTGTACATACACAAGCCAGTAATACTTTATTTGGCAGTGTCACAGCCTGTGGGATCTTAGTTCCCCGATCGGGGATCGAACACGTGCCTTCTGCAGTGGAAGTGTGAAATCCTAACGACTGGACTGCCAGGGAATTCCCCCCAAAATACTTCAGTGCTTTAATATTTACTCAAAAATTTTTACCTGTCTTAAGCTTCTCATCAAATCAGTCCTAGATATACCTATGAAGACTTTTGGAAGCTCAGAGTTGCTTCTCTTTATTAATGTCTTTCTCTCTGTGCCTTCTTTAATTCTTTCCATTCCCATCCTCCTTTCTGTTTTCCTCTTATTCCTGTCTTTCCCTTGTTTTCTCTCTCTCTCTCTCTCTCTTTTTTTTTTTGTTGCCTTCTTCTGTTCCTTCACCCCCCTACAAAAACACTCAAGTCTCAACTGAGGAGGCTGTATTCCTTCTGACTTTCTTTGCCACCATAACATGCTGCTTCCCAAGCAAGCGATGAAAACCTGAAATATCTTTGCAATCTCATGGGCTTGGGGAAGGTGTATAGTGCTACCTGTATTGTGCATGTCTACACAGCTGGAATGTGTGCTCTTTGAAGGGTGGGATTTTTCATTTGATAATAATATAATGTTTGTCATTGTCAGATCATAAGCAAGGGAATAAGTGGGCTTAAAAAATACAAGTTTAACTGAAATAGGGTCTGGGAAAAAAGTGACTGGCTTTAGGATTGATTGACAAGCCTCACTTTAAGTTGTTTTTTATACCAAACCAGTTCCTCTCCCTCTCTTTTTTCAAGTTAATTTACAAATTTCCATTTTAAAGTTGGTTTTTGAGTCAGGCTGGCTGGCACTATTTTACATAAGAAAATACATTTTAGAAAATTTGAAAAAAAAAGGAGACTTAAAATGGTTTTAACATTTTAGTATAAATCCTTTTTTTCCCTACGTGAAGTATATACTTTTTAAAAAATGAGATTGTACTTTGCATACTTACTGATTTTTTATTGAAAAATATAGAATACACACCAAAGGAGGTATATGAGGTAGAAAAACACGTGTAGAGTTTTCAAAAACTAGTTAAATGACCAACCAAGAAATGGAACATTAATGCTACCTAAAATCCCCATCTCCTAGATGTTACTTTTTCTCTTTCCCAGGGGTTATCATTACCCTACATTTTGGCCTTATTATTTTTAAAAATAATGTTTCCTTGGTATGTATCCATAAACAATATATAGTTTAGTATTTCCCATTTTCAATCTTGATCTAAATGGGATTGTATGATTTTCTGATACTTCTTTTATATGTTTTAGATTCATCCACATTGATTCTTACAACTCTCCATCATTTTCAGTAGTGTGGTATTCCATTGTAAGGATATGCCACATCTTATTCTATTGTGATGGATGTTCGTTTCATTTCTAGTTTTTTGCAATTACAAATTATACTCGTTCCCCTTGTGAACATTTGCACCCCACCTCAAAACAAGTACAGTAAACTAATTTGCTGAGACTATGTATAACCGAGAGTGGAGTTTTTGGGTTGTGTGTGGGGTGTGTGTAACTTCACTAGGTAATCCCAAACTATTTTCCATAGTATTGTACAGTCATTCTTAATTAGGCACCACATTTGAACCACAGAACACAGAAAGTTGAGTGACTGTTTTCTCAATTCTCTTGAGGATGTTCCATAGCTAGTATCATTCTAGACACCTACAGAAGAATTTAATTCGTACGTACAATGGATACTATAGACATTGGAACTTAATTCTCAAGACCGAATGGGTAAGAGCTCCACATCCTTGCTAACATTTGGTAGTGATGTTTTAGGTAGATCTTTTAAGAACACCGCATGGCTGGATTTTGCTTTTTAATACAGGCTGCCAACTGCTCTTTTAACTGGAGCATGGAGACCATTCATGTTTATGGTAATTATGGATGTTTTGGATATATTTCTGCCATACCTTTTTTAAAAAAATTATTTATTTTTGGCTGCATTGGGTCTTTGTTCATGCGTGCGGGCTTTCTCTAGTTGCGGTGAGCTAGGGATTACTCCTCATTGCAGTGTGCGGGCTTCTCATTGCGGTGGTTTCTCTTGTTGCGGAGCACAGGCTCTAGGTGTGTGGGCTTCAGTAATTGTGGCACGTGGGCTCCGTAGTTGTGGTTCACGGTCTCTAGAGCACAGGCTCAGTAGTTGTGGCACAGGGGCTTAGTTGCTGCCCAGCATGTGGGATCTTCCTGGAGCAGGGATTGAACCTGTGTCCCCTGCACTGGCAGGTGGATTCTTAACCACTGCGCCACCAGGGAAGTCCTGCCATATGGTCTTATGCTTGCCTGGTGTTTATTGTTTCTCTGTCCTTTTGCAGTTTTAATTCTTTTTTCTGTTTGCTTTCCTCCAATTAAAAGAATTTTTTTTCAAATCTATAAAATCTGAAAGAGTATAATGTGTACCTTTTAAGTGGAGTTACTACTTAATATTTTGCCACATTGACTTTTTTTTTTTTTTTTGCTGTACGTGGGCCTCTCACTGTTGTGGTCTCCCTTGTTGCGGAGCACAGGCTCCGGACGCGCGGGCTCAGCGGCCGTGGCTCACGGGCCCATCCGCTCCGCGGCATGTGGGATCTTGCCGGACCGGGGCACGAACCTGTGTCCCCTGCATCGGCAGGCGGACTCTCAACCACTGCGCCACCAGGGAAGCCCTACATTGACTTTTTTCTGTATATACTCCACACATTATCTTCTGTGGCTAAATGATTTGAAAGTAAAATGCAAACATCTTGACATTTATGCCTAAATATTTCCTTAGCAAGTGTCTCTTTACAACAAAAAGCTTCTCTTACAAACAGCCACAATAACATTATTACACCTAGGAAAGTGAATAATTATTTAAAATATAATGTATAATGTCAATAAAAATCTGATATAAATCCACATTCAGATTTTCCCAGTTGTTCAGAAAATGTCTTTTATAACTCCCTATTCAATCAGGGTTTCTGATTTACCCTATTTAGGTATTGTCACTGAAGTACACTACTGAATGATAATCTATTTCTTTCTTTCTTTTTTTTTTTAAAGCTTAGGCTAGTATTTTTAATACTTATTTATTTTGGCTGCACTAGGTCTTAGCTGCGGGATCTTCGTTGCAGCATGCATGCGGGATCTAGTTCCCTGACCAGGGATTGAACCCAGGCCCCCTGTATTGGAAGCACAGAGTCTTACCCACTGGACCACCAGGGAAGTCCTGATAATCCATTTCTTAAGTGATTATTTTCTCAATTATTTATCAGATGTAACTGCCAGTCAGATGATCTGATAAGCAAGAGGTAACTACTGTTGTTACTTAGTTAAGATAATTCTTGCAAATGTTAAGTAAATTGCAGTTTATTGTAGGATAAGTGTAATTTTCTTGGGCCACTGGAAGACTGAGTGTTCTAATACTCCTTTGCCCACCCCAAGTTTTGAAACACTGATGAAAGTTCCTTTTTGATGTGGGAATGAAGCGAAGCTATTACATTTATAAAAACTTTTTTAGATAGTATATTCTCATGACATTTTATTTCTCTGAAATGCTCAGAATGTAGGTTAATCCAAATTAGGCCTGAATGACAGTTTTTTGTTGTTGTTAATGATATATGCTAGTATACAGGTGTTTACTTGAACAAAGATTTATTGTTGCTACTTGTTAGCAACTGTTAGGTGCTAGGGATACAGATGAATAATGCACTGTCCCTGTTCTCTAGGTGCTTAATTCTAGTGGGAAGACAGTGCAGTTAGGAATGAGGATGCTGTTGGGAGTGACAGAGGAAAGCACTGCCAGTTGATTCCAGGTACTGGGCAAGTCTTCTTTGAGGTATTGGGAGTCTGAGCCTTACTTTTCCTGGGTTATTCCTGTAGGATCAATTATGGGCATATTCCTGAAGTTATAATTGTTTCTTTTGTTAAAACACTTGGAATGTTAAAACGTTTTGAACGTTCAAAATTAAGTTTTATTGGAATTTGCTGTTATTTGGATTACCATATTATTGTTATCTTTTGTTTGGCCTTGACTTGGTAGTTTATTTGTAGCAACTAGTAAAAGAGAAACAAAGTTATTCTTAATGTAATTTAGTCACATTAAACATTTTCTTATTGTAACTTAATGAATGTCTCAATTTTTCCCCTCCAATCAAGATCTCATTTTATTTTGATGAGAAATTTCCTGGTATAATATCAGTTACTTGGTGAAATACTTCTTTGAATTGCTGAAGGTCAGATGGCCTCTTAAAAAAATTCTTAGCTTATTTAGTACCTTTTTTTAAAAAAAATAAATTTATATATTTATCTTTGGCTGCGTTGGGTCTTCGTTGCTGCACGCGGGCTTTCTCTAGTTGTGGCGAGCTGGGGCTACTCTTCGTTGTGGTGCGCAGGCTTCTCATTGTGGTGGCTTCTCTTGTTGTAGAGCATGGGGCTCTAGGTGTGTAGGCTTCAGTAGTTGTGGCTCGCGGGCTCTAAAGCACAGGCTCAGTAGTTGTGGCACATGGGCTTAGTTGTTCCGCGGCATGTGGGATCTTCCCGGACCAGGGCTCGAACCCACGTTCCCTGCATTGTCAGGCAGGTTCCTAACCACTGCGCCACCAGGGAAGTCCCTATTTAGTACCTTTTTAATTCCTTGTGACTGAGTGTGCTAAGGTAATGGTGGAAAAAATACCCCTGTATATTACAGAACAATCCAGGTGTTGGTAACAGGAGTAAAATCCTTGTTAGCTAAAGTAGACCATTTACTATTTTATTATCACAGAAGAACTTTCATTTTTTTAAAGGCAGTTTGAGCTGTTTAATTGTTCTAATGCTTATCTCACTTTATCAAAAGATCCTAGCTGTAATGGGATGTAGCTAGCTTACCATGAACCAATTTATATACTCTGACGGTCTAGCCATCTGTGGGACAAAGAAATGACCAGGAAGCCTATAAAATTACACTAAGAACTCAAGCTGCTATTAAGTAGGGCTGTTTAGTATATCGTTAAGTGACCCTAAAACACCATGGAGTTACTATGGATGTCAAGTAAAGAGTAATTGCTGTTTACATTGAAGGACAGAAAATGAGAAAATGGGTGTTATGTTCAGTATGCTGTTGAGAAAACATGTCTGTGGAGGTTGGAGGCAAAAAACAAAACAAAACAAAAAAACAGGTGCAATTTGGGAGAATGACAAGTGTAGGGATCAGAAAGGAATAAAAACCTTGTATTTATTTGTGATGGTTGGTGGTTTGTGAACAGAAGTTGATGGAGTTTAACAGTTAGCAGTAAGCAGTATTCTAAAAGATTAAACATTCCACTTTGACATCAGTTTCATAATTAAGATAGTTCAGACAGATAAATAAGGGTGTGACATTTCAGTGAAGTAGAGAAGAGGCAATTATTGATATTCTGGTTGATACAGATACCTTAGAAATTCTTAGAACCTTTGAGGCTTTAAGTACAGTGACCCTTAATTCAGGTACCTGTAGAAAGTTGATGGCAGAGAGAATATAAAGGAAGGCATAGATTTAAGGCCTTAAATCCTTTATTACTTGAATATGGGTATAGGAAGAAATGGTGCACTAAAAGAATGGCTTAAAGGTTTTGAGCTCTGGAACACTTGAAAAATGCTGTTGGTTACTTGGAAAATTTTGGAAATCTTCAAATGAGGCAGTTTTGGATGAATTCCATTATAGGTGTAGCTATCTAATAGGCAGTTACCTGGAGGCTGAATCTCTGGAGAGACATAGTCTTTAGCTTTTGCTTTGAAGTTGGAGGTAATTATTGATGCCAGTAGGGCATAAAATTTCTGTGAGAAGAGAGAACGTGCTTAAGAATTGAACAATTTTGTTGTTTCAGGGGTGGGAGAAAGATGGGATGCCGCTTAGGATTTGAGAACAAAAGAACTAAGATGGTGTAGTGTCTTAAAAGCCAAGGGAAAAAGTTGTACAATGTGTTGTATGCCAGAGACAGGTGAAAGAATGAGAACAAGAAAGATTCGACAATTATGTGGAGGTCAGTGGTGACCTGGGGAAATAGTATCTTTCCTTCTGTTGCAGTGGTAGGGTGGTGGAAAGCAGACTGAAAGTTAAGGAGTTGTTTAGTGAGGAAATGGAGGCAGTGAGTGTATTCTTTTTGAGAAATATAGCTTATGTAGTCATTGCTTACAATTACATGCAGTTTCCAAGAGTACATGGAAGGTAATTTTTCTAAGCCATTGTTTTTGAAATTAATCTGGATGTATAGAATAGTTGAACAGGTTTTGATGCACATCCTTGTGAGAAGGAAAAGGGTATGGAATATTTTCTCAATGTAGTTGTAGGAGATTTCCTTATTAAGGAATTTTGTATTTGGTTTGAATGAAAACTGAGCCTGGTGCATAAGTGACAGGTGTGGTAACATTTAAATGGATTGTGTGACTATGTTTTGATGGATACATTCTTCAGGTAACTGACATTTTTTAAAAAGTTGCTTTTGGCATGAGTGAAACAATAATAAGGATGCCATTAGAATAAAACAAATACGCTTTAAAAAAAAAAAAAGCCAAGCAATTCAAGACTTTATATCTTGAATATATGAGGAAAGCTGAAGAACTGTAATGAAAAGCTGTGGGTGTGAAGTACTTAAAAAAATCAGTGTTTATATTTTTGGCTTATGATATAGCTGTTTTCAAATAGCTTAATAATGGATATACTGAACCTTTTAAATCAATTGTGAAATATTTGTGTATTTGTAACAATTGAGTGCCATATGTTTAAATGATTTGTGCAGAGATGTGAAAAATGAGAGTACTTGAAATATTTTATCTGTCTTCAGTAAGAATTGAAGATTTGTAATGTAATATTGTAAATCAACTAAGCTTCAATTAAAAAAATAAAAAGAATTGAAGATTTGTAAAGTTTTGTCTGTTGTGAAAGTATAGTTGGGATTTAATCACTTTGGGCAGTAAAAGTGATTACTATATGAGAGGGGTTAGCAGAGATGCTGCTTTGCCCCAAAACCAAAACAATAAATTAATGTGAGATAATGGATTAAAACTTTTAAGTGATTAGGAGTTGAACTAGGTAACATTTTGAGTGTTGTTGAATAGGGCTATTTCCTGAAGTTCTTTTCACATCTTGGGGAGTTTGGAGATTTTCCTGTGTTGAGTATTGTTATGGCTTTTCTGTGCTTGAAAATAAGAAGCAAGAGTTAAACTGATACTACAGTTTAAGATAATGTTTTAGCTTAGAGTATCAAGAATCAAAAATCTTTGATTCTTTAATTTTTTTTTAATTTTATTTTTGGCTGTGTCGGGTCTTCGTTGCAGCACGCACGGTCTTTCGTTGCGGCGCGTGGGCACTGTAGTTGTGGTGTGTGGGTTCCAGAGTGCGTGGGCTCTGCAGTTGAGGCACGCCTGGGCTCAGTAGTTGTGGTGCAGGCTTAGTTGCCCCGCAGCATGTGGGATCTTAGTTCCCCGACCAGGGATCAAACCCATGTCCCCTGCATTGGAAGGCGGATTCTTAATCACTGGACCACCAGGGAAATCCTGAAAATCTTTGATTCTTGATCTTTGTAACTGGTTCTGGTCAATATGACTTGACTAAAAGAAAGACTTGGCTTATTGAACTTGTATCCCCAAGATTGGTAAGGTAGATTAGCCTATAGCTCGACACCTTCCCCTTTCTTTCTTTTTTTTAAAAATAAATTTATTTTATTTATTTATTTTTGGCTGTGTTGGGTCTTCACTGCTGCACACGGGCTTTCTCTAGTTGCGGCTAGCGGGGGCTACTCTTGGTTGCAGCGCGCGGGCTTCTCATTGCTGTGGCTTCTCATTGCGGAGCACAGTCTCTAGGCATGTGCAGGCTTCAGTAGTTGTGGATCATGGGCTCTAGAGCACAGGCTCAGTAGTTGGGGAGCAAAGGCTTAGTTGCTCCGCAGCGTGTGGGATCTTCCTGGACCAGGGCTTGGACCCGTGTCGCCTGCATTGGCAGGTGGATTCTCAACCACTGCGCCACCAGGGAAGCTCCACCTTCCCCTTTCTGACTGGGTCTCAGGAAGAGGAAATAAATAACCCAAAGGGAGAAGGCGACTTCCTTGCTTATCCCCTTCCCTATGAAGGCCTTGGGATGGAGCAACTAGCGAGAAGTTAATCTTGCTCTGATGGATGTGGAGCTGGAGGGTGGTGGCAGAATGGGAGTGAGAGTGTGAAGGCAAAAAATTTACAAAAATATGTCTCAGTCTTCATCACAGACTAAGACTATTGGCATTACGTCTGTCCTGTTCTAGTGACTCTGAGACTTCACTTGATTCTCGCGAGAGGATAGGTGGGGATAAATGCAGCTGAACATGGTTGTGGAAGAGCCAAGTCAAACTAAAGTTAGGGATAGGAGAATTTGAGATGGGAACATTCAGTTGGCGATTTATTACTCGTAGTTGTGGCATGCATGCAGGATCTAGTCCCCCGACCAGGGATTGAACCCGGGCCCCCTGCATTGGGAGCATGGAGTTTTACCCACTGGACCACCAGGGAAGTCCCTCTATTTTCTTTTCTGTTTTTTTTTTTTTTTTTGGTGCTTGATATAATGCATGCTAACATCAGTGAATCAGTGGTTGTCTCTTAATCATTCAAGCTACCATAGAACAACCTGGGGAAAATCAAGAAACATTGAGGGTTTACTCTGTGTAAGGCTTGGGTGGAAAGTCGTCTTGCCCCCCGCCCCCCCCCCCCCTTCAAAGACAGCGAGTCAGTGATTAAAAACAATGCAGATGATTTTAAAACAAATGACAAGGAAACAGCCTGAAAGATTGTATTGTCGTTGGGTTCAGAAATTATTTTTGGAATGTGG